ATAGAAATATGAATAGGAATAGTCTTTCATATGACACTGCGCAATCTGCGGCGTAGCCGTTACAATAATATATTTAGTGCATCACATGACTTCCGTAGTAAGTTCGTTCTAATTAGTCAATATTAGCCGGGTAATTGATAGGTCCAAGATTTACTATCTCACAATAGCTAAAAGCGGTATATCTTTAACTTCAGTCTGCATTGGAGGAGGGAGAGACTTTACCAGTTGCCTAAACATAATTGAAATTGCCTCGTATAATTTAGATAAATCTTTTATCTGTTTGCTTGCGTCGGTGGTAGTAGCTGTCTCAATATATATAAATTCAATCGAATTAGTCAATGACATAATGCCGTTGTATTTCTTGCGTTTTTTGGGGTTTTTTATGGTTGCCTTTTGTATTTTGCTCGTAATTTCCCCACTATTCAAGAATAATGGCCATAAAAGTTGGTTAAAATATAAAATCAAAGCATAAAAAAAGTCTTGTAAATAATTACCGCTCAGAACAAATTCCATCAGCTTTGCCATGCAATCGTCAAATATGGGCGTAACTATGTTGCTGTTGTACCAGCCCTCGGGTAGGTTTCTATCATCAAGATTCAAGATTTTTTTTGTTTTAAATAATATGAAAGCTGTATGTAAAATAAATAATTTTAAATATTAATAATAATCAAATTTTCATGATAACAGTGTAAATATGAATACTCACAACTTTTCGAATAACCTTTTTAGGTACAAAACATCTTCATCCAAATTTTTATAATTTATTTTAATACTATTCAATGAATCTGCCAACTTTTCCATGCCTGTCTGTGATTATAAATAAATAATAAAGGGTATAAGAAATTTCATTTAATTATTATTTAATTTCACTTTCTATTGTGATTACTTACTATATTTAATTCCTTTAATAGCTGAGTGGCTATTTCTGTATTAGTATTTTTTGGTTTATACCTATCTAAAAATTCTTCAAAATATTTTTTTACGGAAGTTCCTAATTCAATTTGGATGTTTTGATCATTAAGATCAATGATTCCATAATTAAATGATGTCAATTTATTTTTTGGTTTGTATAATATTTCACGCAATCCAATAAATTTTTCTTCTATATCTATATTTTCCACAATCAAGTCGAACTCCCAGGGAGATTCTTCAAAATTTAAAAAATCGTCTGGTATATTATTTTTTTTTGGTATATTTTCTTTTCCGTTTGTTTTTCTAAGTAAATACAAGTTTTAATATACAAACTAGAGTGACGACGAGTGGCGGGCGATAACCACCACCACCATCCTTAAAACACTTACCTAACAACAGCCTCATCGGCATTTTGTTTTTGCTTTCTTTTGTTCGATCCTCTGGAAGACATATTTTTAAAAATAAAAGTTTTGTGATACAATTGACGCGTACACTAATTATTTATCCATTGGTTTATTTGGTAGGACAGACGCGAATTGATTTTTTTTTTTTTTTTTTGGAAAAACAATTTATTTTTTGACAGAGCCCAAGGTGACAAAACGTGAGTGTTGTTGTCTGGCTTGGTTTGGGTCTCCTAAAGAAAATGTGTTAATAATAGAGGTACTTTTTTTTATTTGTATTGATATTTTTATTTTATTATAAACATTTTAATTGGAAATCAAAACGCGGAGCAGATCATTGTTGGGTAATTACAAGATTTTCATTGATAATATTTTACTTTTTGTAATCAATATTAATAATATTATTATAATCATAAGAAGGTGTCAAGGCAGAATACTGTTACAGAAGTAACATTTTGAATATGCGACGTTTGATTATCAGAAATTGGCAGGTGTTGAAGCACGCATGCTACCTTAAACACTTTACAGTCATTCACACATCTTCCTCGTGTACAAAAGGCTAAACCGACCTGCGACGCCCAAGGATACAATGATGCAACCAAATTCCAGATGGGGGTGGCATGGTCCTGGAGTTTATCGAGACTGCATCAATCGTCAATGACGCTTTCACTAATCTTCCCTCACCAGAGAAGGCTGCTGGCATGCTGGATGAAAAGTTGCCTGCAACTATCCTACCTCCAGGGTAAGGATGGCACTGTGACCAAGTCGCAACTCTGCTGATGAATATTAAGAGAACCTGCAACTTGTTTCAAGCACAGGAGGTCGCAATTCAGAGCAGGGTTGGTGGCCCTGAAATTGCATTTAGACACTGATGTTAAGAGGGAAGTTGTAAAATAGTGTTTGTTTTGTATAATCACTTTCATAAATGCTCTGTTTCTCTGATGCTAACCAATTTATGATTTTGGGTAGGGGATTGAAATGGGTTTTTGCCCAATCAGTTCCCTGTCCTGTAGGTTAAAATTGTCACATGATTATATACATCCTTGTCAGTGATATGGCCAACAAGAAAAAAGTTATAAAATGGTTCGGATTTTGTTTGGTATGTTTTGTAATAAATTAATCATTTTCCCAAATTTTCTGCTTCTCTTTAATTTTTATCTGACCAACTGAACTTGTTAGTTTAGTAAATGGGGGTAGGGTTGTTGGTGATTAGGCATGCCACTGACAAGACAGGGGACGCCTTTGGGATATACCAGCCAAACTCATAGAAAGGGATCTTTTGTCCAG